TACGCACGTTCGTCATTGGATACGGTGCTTCCAAATTACGCTATGGCAGCGAGCTCATATGGGCAGTAGCGACGGATTCAGCGAGGAATGAGATGCAGAAGACGTACGCAACTCTGGCACGCATTGTCAGCGGAGTTCCGAGCACTGTTGACCCGGAATCCGCGCTACTGGAGGCTAATATGCCGCCGCTCCACGTCCTTTGCCTGCGCGCGCGGCTCTCGATATTTGAGAACACACGCGCATGTCAGATGGACTGGATGCGGAGACCCCCGCCTGAGCCACCGCCTCGCGCCGGTTTCCGCATCTCGCCATTATCTCGGGACGAGCTATATGCCTTCGTAGACGCATACACAAAGGAATATGGCATCACCGAGAGCTCACCACGCGAAGAGCGGTTCTTTCGCAGCTCCATTCCTCCCTGGTCTGCGGCCTCCGCTCACCGGGCCACCATCGGTGTGGAACTTCCGATAGACCTCTCAATAACCGACGAAGAAGAGCTGATACGGGAAAAGCGCAGAGTCAGCGAAGAGGCTCTGGCGCTGCACAGCCATCGTTCGTGGATACTTGCGACCGATGGCGGTGTCGACGTTCCCAAGTCAGCAGGGGTTGGAATACTGCTTTCATCCCTCAACTCATCGGGGATAATAGAAAAGGCCAGCATAAACTGCGGTGCACGCCCATGCAGCTACAGGACGGAATCCCGTGCGCTGCTTCTAGCCCTAGAGAAGCTGATGATCCCTCGTATCCGCCACAGGCGTAAAACCCTGCTTGTGGTTACGGACAGTCATTCTCTTCTAGCGGCTCTAAACAAGGGCCCGCTCAGTCATACCGACTGGACGGAGGATCAGATCTGGCAGCGTCTCTTGACACTGACGCGTGCCGGCTGGTCCGTGCACCTGCAGTTTTGCTACGGACATTGTGGAGTACATGCTAACGAGCCTGCAGATCAGTATGCGACGCAGACTATGGAAAGTGGACAATACACGGAGCAAGGAATCGCACCTTTATGGCATACGGATCTGCTGACATGTTTTACTACCCAGCTCACCAACAAGTGGCGTAGTACCATTCGTCAAGACACTCATCGCTACTTGCTTTGCGGCACAAGGCCATCAGATCTCAGCGGTAAGGACCTGATCACTCAGGAAGTTCTACACCGTCAGGAACTGGTTCACCTCGCAAGGGCAAGGTGCGGGGAATCTGAGCTCTGGGGCCGACTATACTGGGCCGTGAGAGATTGCACGAACCAATGCCGATTCTGCAACATCTCACCGGAACAGTCTGCATATATGCGCTGTAGCAACGATCCAACCGCACCGGGGACGGACACTGTTCCCCCGTCGGCGAGGGAGGAAGACGTCTCTCCAGTAAGGAGACGGACCCTCACACGCCGTCGGAAGGAGAAATGTCCGCACTGTGATTCCACATTGACGGGATTCTCGGGTCTCGTCAGTCACTGTCGGTCATTTCATCCGGAACATCCTCCACCGCTTCCCGAGCTCAAATGTGATTTCTGTGACATGGTTTTCCCCACACGGAGAAGCACCGCACAGCACAGAAGTCGCTGCGCACACAACCCAGACGCCACACGGCATCGAAACAGCAGTGCCAGGAGGCGATCTCTGCTGCCGCAGGATCAGCCAGCTTCCACAAGCACGCCAATCGGCCCGCAGGAAACCTTGCACCATCTGCTTCTAGAATGTCCAGGCACCTTGGCTGTGCGTCAACGGCTGGGCATTGAACAGGACCTCCGTCACGGAAAGTTCTCTCAATGGCGGCTGCTTCATAGCAGGAAACTCATTTTGCTGCTCGACCACCTCTTCGGCACCCAGATGGCATTTTATAGCTAGACGCGCTGGTAAGAGTAGGAAAAAAAAAATAATGATCTCACGACGCCCAATACCACCGATGCGTACGGGCGATGGGACTGTATCCATGGTCCTCGAGCACACGCCCCGCCGCTAAGGAGCCCACAAACAGCGGTGCGTGCAGCAGCGCCACACAGAGCACATCTTCTTCAAAAAAAAAAATAAAGAGAGTGGAGACGTCTAGTTCGAAGGTGAAATTTCCTTGCCGACGGTGAGCAGCGGCGAATGTATCACCTCGTGGGCGGACACACCACTGCTGCTTCTGCTTTTGGGACTGTGTGTGGTTGTGGCAGTGTTCTGAGCCACGGAGTGTGGAGTTGCGACTTCTCACGGAGAATATGTGCCGCGTTTTCCGCGCGGGCTTTCTTTTTTTGATGTTCTTTTTAATGTTGTTTAATGGAACAATGGGAGTACCTTTTTCTTTAGTTTTACTTAATGGTCGGTTGCTGCACACTGTCATGAGCGAATTGTTTTCCCTCTTGATTGCTTCTGTTGCCTACACGCGGTACAGGCCCCACGGCTGTGCGCTCCACGGACGACACAAAAGGAGGAGTGGAGAGACAGGCCGGATGCCGCATGAAATGTGTGGGATGTTGTGTGGGCTTGTGGAACAGTAATAATTTTTCCTTGTGCAGGTACTGTACGCATGTACATATAAACACAGTCCTGCCTTGCTGCATGGCGTATGAAATGATGATTCTGCTGAAGTGTATTTTTTTTGGAGGAGGAGACTCCTGTTGGGCACCCAACTTATTTTTCCGTTTTGGTATTGCTTTTTTACTTCTGGTGTGCAGGTCGGTTTGCGTGCTTCTGCAGGGCTGCTGTCATTTGTGATGCTGCGTGGTTGTGTGACTTGTCTCTCCCCTTTTGCTTTCACTCTCCGTTGACGTGTTTTTAGTTTGTGCTGAAGGCTACACGCAAATGACAGGAGTGATGGCGATGATGACTGGCCGTGTGCTGCTGGTGTGTGCCCTCTGCGTGCTGTGGTGCGGTGCCGGCGGGGTTTATGCGAGGAACCCTGACAACAATTCACTGGGTGGCTACATGGCGTCGAGAGGGTTTGGAAGGAATACGTCGTTTTTGTCGAACGGATCTATTAAAAACTTATCCACACCGCTTTTGCTGTCAGCATCGTTTATCTCTGCTATGCAAGCCGAAGCTCATGAAGAAGTTCCTTCTGCAGGAGTTACTAATTTACCTTTAAGTGGAGCCGCGGGTCTTAGTCCTGCTTTTTCCGGTCCTGCCGCTGCTGGTCCTGGTCCTATTCCTGGTCCTGCTATTCCTGTCCCTGGTTCTGTTCGTGGTCCTGGTGCTATTCCTGATGTTGCTCTTCCCAGTCCTGGTCCTTCTGGTCCCGGTCTTCGTGCTGCTGGTCCCGATCATGTTCCTGGTGCTATTCCCGGTCGTGGTCCTGCTGGTCCCGATCAGGTTCCTGGTGCTATTCCCGGTCGTGGTCCTGCTGGTCCCGATCAGGTTCCTGGTGCTATTCCCGGTCGTGGTCCTGCTATTCCTGTTCGTGGTCCTGGTGCTATTCCTGGTGTTGCTGTTCCCAGTAACGGCCCTGCTTTTTCCGGTCTTGATGCTGCTGGTCATGGTCGTGATGCTGCTATTCCTGGTCCTGCTGGTCCCGGTGCTGCCATTCCTGGTGCTATTCCTGGCCGTGGTTCTGTTCGTGGTGCTGCTGTTCATGGTCCTGCTGGTCCCGGTCTTGGTCCTGCTATTCCTGGACATGGTCCTGCTGGTCCCGATCCTGCTTTTTCCGGTCTTGTTCCTGCTGTTCCCGGTGCTGGGCATTCGGTTGGTGGTGGAAGTGAACCTCCGGACTCTCGCTCTGTCGTTATTTCCTCAAGTCAAGGTGGTAATGGAAAAACAGCCCCGGTCAGTGTTTCGTCCGATGAGCAGATTGCATCCTCAAAGGAAGTTTTGGCACAAAAAGAAACGGGGAGTCAGGGCACCTCTTCGCCCGAAGGACAGCCAACGGTGTCATCCAACAATGAAAAGCAAAGAAACAATTCTGCCTCAGCAGGGGGTCACAGTCTTGGCCACGACGCCGCGGGAGACGCACTCCAAGACTCTTTGGAAGAACAAAAGAAAAATGACCATTCACAAACGAACGCGACAAAAAAATCATCAGGGGACCAAAATACAGAATCCCAAAGCAGTGGAGGAGCACTCTCGGAGGTATCCAACACAACAACGCATGGGATAAAAACTCAACAGCCAAAGACAAACCCAGCAAATGAGAAGAACTACAGTCAAAACACGGATGCATCCCACACCACCTCCCCTCTTTTGCTTCTTCTTGCTGTTGCGTGTGCGGCTGCTGCTGCGGTGGTGGCCGCGTGAGAGTGAGTGTGAGAGAGCCGTGCACCGCCCGCACACACACTCTTCCTTCTCTCTCTGTGTGTGTGTCCCCTTGCATGGACTCTCGCCCTCACCTCACCCCACGAGGCACACACATAATGTGCCCATTGTATATATGCATGCACACCCATGCAGGCCCGTTGGTGCTCTCTTTTGCACGACACGCACCGCTGCCGTCCTGCCTGGCTGCATGGGCGGAGCACCGTAACTGTTTCTGTTTTGTTTTTGACCTCTTACGATTGTTTTAAGTGTTTTTAATTTTTCTTTGCTGTTTGCTTTAAAATATTTTAAATTTTTTTTCTTGTTTTTTCTGGTTGTGTGAGTTTTTTCTTCATTTCTTTTTTTACTTTTTATTGTTTTTTATCTCATTTCCTTCACTCCCCCTTCTTTCTTTTTCTTTTGCTTTTGGGGCAGTCACTATGGACGTTTTTTCTTTTCTACTCTTCCCTCTTTAACTGTTTGTTGCTGCACTCTTCCTGTGAGGGGTGCCGTGTGTTTCCGCCCAACTGCTCCACTCGCACACCCACCGACACGCTCACGACGACGGCCCTGTGCGCCTCGCCTGCTGCACGCATGAGGCGGGGCCGCGACGAACGGCGCGCTGAGGGAGCCGTGACGTGTGGGCGTGCGACGAGGGCCTGTGGGGCGGAGCACACATTTCTTTCCTCTTGTTTTGTTTCTTTGCGGCCAGGGCGGGCAGACACCCGCAGCGCCACACACACAGCCACACCCTGCCGCCGTGTTTTTCTTTAAGGATTTGTTTTGCTTTTTTTGTGTGTGTATGTTTGTATGCTGCCACCGTGCGTGATTGTTGAGGTTGTGTCCGTACCGCATGTACCGCTGCTCTCCAGCCGTGCCTCTTGCCGTCCTGATGTGCCTCCCTGTGCTCCTATTTTTTTCGGCTTCTCCAACAGACACCCACACACATAAGTAGTTGCACAGTTCTCTGTAGGAATGTTTTTGCACTGCTGGGTGCGTGCGTTGCTCGGTGTGTGCCGGCGCGTGACGGACGGTGCCACGATGGTCTTCTCCGGCGATGACAGTCGCTGTGCTCTCGACACATCCACACACTCTTCCTCCCTCTCTGTGGGAGTGATTGCGGCAGCAGCGTGGTCTACGGCAGCGGCTGTTGGTGCTGCGGAGAACGAGGCGACGAAGAACAAGAGGCCGCACCTGCTGGACGCGATTACGATGGCGGATGAAAGCCGTTTTGTTGCCTTTGCTTCGTACATTGCTAAGAAGTGCGGCGTGTCGCCGCCTGACGGGATGCCTGCACTCGGCACCCTTTGAGGCATTGTGTTCTTTTGTTTAGTGTGATGTCACAATCATCATGGCAGCACCTTCCCTCAACGGCTTTGAGTGTGACAATACGAATGACGGCAAAGAGAGCGATGAGGATTATGGTGACGACTTGCACCGAGGGGCGGATTATTTGCGTGTCTTGGCACACGAATCCCAGGAGGGTTTGAATGCCGTCCCCACAATTCCCGGCCTTGAGGAACCGTTGGCCTTCGCGCTGTCACCCGCCGTAATTAGTGCCCCGTGCGTTGAGGCTGATCCATTTACCGTGGAGTTCACGCAGCAGCTCTCGAGTGGTTGTGCTGCTGGTCCCGCGTTGGCTCTTTCGCATGTATCTCAGGGTTGCCTGGCGTGTGATTTGTTGTGTGTTGTCCGGGCCGCCGCCTCCAGTTTTCTTTTGCTGCCCAATAAGAAACACTTTGCGTTGCGGTGGGTATTTATTTGCGTGGCCGTCGACGCGCGTGACGATGCTCAACGGGTGTGTCTTTCGTTTGGCGGGCACGAGGGAGACTTCGGTGTGTGCCGACGCCTCCGCGAAATTCTTTGTTGACGGATCGAGGCGAAAATAAGGAAGGTCTGTCCGCTGCATCTCTCAAGGCAGCTGCGGGGCACTCCGAGCGCACAGAGTGGATGGATGGATGCCGCGCAGCTGGGGAGACCAGTTGTCTTCTCCGCCCTCCGTTGCCGGGGAATCGGGAATCCACAGCGTCACTGCCAGCTGCATTTTACTGCTGGGGATCGACTGTTCTGTAGTTGCCCGTCTAATGTGAATTGCAGCGTCAATGCAGGAAGACGCTTTCACGCATTGCGAGTAGTTGCTCCAGCCTCGAGCCCATCAATATTCACGGCAGGGAGCCATGCATCTTGTTGGACGGTGACGTTCAGGCGAGTGTGTTTCGCCTCATCCGCCTCGTATTTGTGAGGGACAATGCGCATCGACCCTCCCCAACAGTCCCACCACCTTCACTTCCCCCGCCGCTCGCTGCCCTCTGCTGACGGTACAGTTGTTTGGCTCCGCCAATAATGCGCTCGTGAAACGTCCTCTCCGCACGCTGCAGGATTATTGCCGTGGAGGAGTTGACGGCATATGGTGCGGGTGTGGCGTCGGCGGAATCATCCACACTTTGTTTTAGAAACATGACTCTGAGTTGTGTCATTCACGCCGTGTTTCCCTTTTTTCTTGCTGGGAGTCCTGTGGGTGTGTTTGAGCCCTTTTTCTCCAATTTGTTTGCTGAAACGAACAAATGCTCTGCCGCTGCACATCTCCGGTTTTCCAATGCGGTGGATCGAGAAGATGCCGGGGGAATTTCAGGCGAAGCAAACCGAAGTTTGCCTCACTTGCTGCTGCCGTATGACGATGTGTGGTGAGCAAACAGGGGAGGAGCGGGCGGTGGCAGCAACTCGTGCCGTGCAGGATAACAATCCAGACCTACCAGTGTGGCGACGGTGCTGACGCAGAGTCCGTTACTGAGGGAACATAATATGGAGGCGGACTGCCAGCGGAGCATCGCGTGGTGGCGCGCATTTCTCTCATTGGCGGGGTGACAGCCGAGCCTTCCAATCAGCTGGACTCTGATATTCTGCTGCACCTGATGGGACACGGTATCGCCATGGCAGAGCAGCCGTCTGACTCTCTTGTTGACATCATGGCTTGGAGAGTGGGAATTTCTTTCCCATTGTACCCAACAGAGCCGGCACTGGCGCGTTGCTGCTGTGTTGATGACGACACTGTGACGGAGGGAATAGCGGTTGTGTATTCACGATGAAACCTACCGGAGACGTATTCATCACGTGCGTTTCCACCTCAGCACGCGGTGGGTGGCGGTCCTTTGACGATTGTTGTGGACGGGCTGTTTAACCGTGGCCTTTTATTGAATAGACTCTTTGTGGAAGATGGTGCAATCCGCATGCGGCCCAACGGATGCCCCCAGTACTCCTTGGATGAGTGTAGGCGAATCCTGCAGAAATTGATGAGGGACGGCCTGCCTGTGATGTGGCATGAGGCAAGTAACCGTCGTTTGGCGCACTCAAGCAGTATCCCCTATGATGCGCCTATCGGCTGTGAATTGCATGGACAAATGCAGACCGTCCACATTCTCGTGGAATCGCGGCAAGCACGTTGGGGATTTTTTTGAGTTCCCTCAATACTGTGAGTTTTCCTTTTGAATGTGCCATCGCCAGAGAGCGAGATAACCCCGGCCAATTTGTTTTTACTTTTCCAGGGACGAGGCAGTCGAATATTTGATTCCCTTGTGCGGTACTTTACCCTCCCTGCCTTCTGCACTGTTGTCTCTCCGACGGCATTTTTGACCCATCTTTTCCAGCGAGAAAGAGAGTGTTGGCTCCGAATGCCGTTTATCTGCGGACGCAACTCTGCAGTCGTACGTGCCATATCTTCCACGCGTATTTTCGAGGGTACGCGTCATTTACCTGGACGCCAACAACGCCATCGTATCATCCTATGCGACACCCTTGCACCGTTGTTGTTGTCGTCACGGTAATTTTGTTTTTCCCCGACGGGAGTGAGACAGGTTTTGTTTTTCACCTGTACGATGTGCTGACTCCCACTGTGGGCGCTGAGAGCGTGGAGCGGAACGATGGCAAGCTTGCGGCAACTGTCTCGCGTAAAAATTGGAGGTCTGTTTGTTGTGCAAGTGGGGGAGATGGTTGTAGTTCTCTCCTCCTTCTAGTTTATGGTGGCTGTTCTGTCGTTATGTGTGTGTTTCTTGTGTGGATCCCGTTTCGCAGTGCGTGCAGTGTGCGAGTTGTGCCTGCCGCGGGAGGTCGCATCATTACCGCGCACGCAACGGCGACGCCCGGACGATGTGTGTGTCTCTTTGCTGCACCTCTTTGTATTTCCCTTTTGCCCTTCTTTTCTCCGCTCTGCGCGCAGATCTGCTCACCGACTACAGCCACACTACTACTACTACTACTGCTGCTCGCACGTGTACGCGAAAACGATGATGATTGTGTGGTGCATGTGGAGACAGAGTTGTTGTGTGGAAGCGAAGATTCCGGTGTGCACCGGCGCCCAGTCGGCGAGAGCAGCCGGACTGCGTGTCGTACTGGTAAGAAGCCAGACAGTCGAGATCTAACGGAAGAGGAGGCTTTCAATGCGATATTTGGCGATTTTGCGGCGAGGAGCTGCTCGGATTACGATGGCACGAATAATTCCGGAGGAATGGAGGAATATAAGAATCCTGACCTCACGACGCCCAATACCACCGATGCGTACGGGCGATGGGACAGCATCCATGGCCCTCGGGCACCCGCCCCCGCCGCTAAGGAGCCCACAAACAGCAGTGCGTGCAGCAGCGCCACACAGAGCACATCTCCTTTGAAAAAGAGGATCTAAGCGAGCGGAGAAATCTTGTTCGAATGTGGCATGTCCTTGCCGACGGTGGAAAGCGGCGAAATTATCATCTTGTGTGTGGAGAAACCACTGCTGCTTCTGCTTTTGGGTCCATGAGGAGTTGTGACAGTTTTCTGAGCCACGGAGTGTGGATTTGCGACTTCTAACGGAGAATATTTGCCGCGTTTTCCGCGCGCTTCCTTTTTTTTGTTTTTTTTTTGTTTTGTTGTTTTCCTGGAATTATAAGTATCCTTGCTGTTCCTTTATTTAATGGTCGGTTGCTGCGCACTGTCATGAGGGACGTGTTTTCCCCTCTTGTTTGCTTTTTGTTGCCCACACACGGTGCCGGCCTCATTGCTGTGCGTCCCACGGACTGCACGAAGGGAGGAGCGGAGGAGCAGGCCGGATGCCGCAATGAAGTGTGAAGAATGCTGTGTGGGCTCACGGAACAGTAATATTTTTTTTCTCATGCAGGCAATATTTATACAAAAACACAGACCTGCTGAGCTGCATGGCGTATGAAATGTTAATTCTGCTGAGGTATGTTTTTTTTTTTTTTTTTGGAGGAGGGACTCCTGTTGGACACTCAACTTATTTTTCCGTTTTGGTATTGCTTTTTTACTTCTGGTGTGCAGGTCGGTGTGCGTGTTGCTCTGGTGCTACCATTTGTTTACTGTGCGGTGGTTGTGTGACGTGTCTCTCCCCTTTTGCTTTCACTCTGCGTTGACGTGTTGTTAGTTTGTGCTGAAGGCTGCACGCAAGTGACAGGAGTGGTGGCGATGATGACTGGCCGTGTGCTGCTGGTGTGTGCCCTCTGCGTGCTGTGGTGCGGTGCCGGCGGGGTTTATGCAAGGGACATCGGGAACAATTCACAGGGTGTCTGCATGGTGCTAGGAGGATTTGGAAAGAAAACATCGCATTTGGCGAGCGGATGTGATAAAAACGCGCCGACGCTCTCTTTGCGTCCAGCGTTGCCCATTGCTGCCATACAAGCCGAAGATACTGAAGAAGGTGCTGGTTCTGACATCACTGCAGTAGGGGGTGGTGGTGGCGGAAGCGGTGTAAATTCTGCTAGACAAGATGGTGCTGGCAGCAGTCAAGCTGGTTCTGTGCCTGGTGCTGGTCTCCCTCCTCCTGCTGGTGCTTCCGGTGTTGGAGGTAATCCTTCGGGGTCTGTCACTCCTGGTGGTGATTCGTCACCTGACCGTAGTGTTGGCACGGGGACCAGTGCCAGTCTTTCATCTACCTCGCAAGGTGAATCCGAAAAAAAAGTTTTGCAAGGAGATGAGGCAAAGGATCAGAGTCACCAGTTGCCCAACGGAAGGGCACCGGATACGCCCGTCTTTGAAACGCAGTCACGGGGCTCTGATGCAACAAGGGGGCAAGATGTTGGCGACAATTCTACATTGAGCGGAAAAGAACAGCGCTCTTCGGAAGAACCAGAGAAAAAAGACGGGGATTCAGACACTATTCAAACAGTTAATTCACCAGGAGACCCAAATAAAGAATCTCAAGAAAAAGGAAAAGCCTTACCGGAATTATCAAACGCACCACTGCCGAAACCCAAAACCGATCATCCAAAAATGAATCCAGAAAAAGAGAAGAATGGCAGACAGAAGACGAGTGCATCCACGGATTCACCTGCAAAACAAGAGGGAAATAGCGAGGATCCTGTATCCACTTCGGACACTGCGGAAGGTGTATCGACAGGTAGTCAAGAACAAACAGCAGCGACATCTTCAAATGACAGCTTTTCCCCACTTCAGAAGGAAACATCCACTGAAAAGACTCCTGTGGAGAATTCTCAACCTTCCCATACTGCACAGACAGAAAAACGCCAAAGTGTAAATAAGGAAAAGATTGGCGACAGTGACGGCAGCACCGCGGTGTCGCACACCACCTCCCCTCTTTTGCTTCTTCTTCTTGTTGTTGCGTGTGCTGCTGCTGCTGTTGTGGTGGCCGCGTGAGAGTGAGTGTGAGAGAGCCGTGCACCGCTCGCACACACACTCGTCCTTCTCTCTCTGTGTGTGTGTCCCCTTGCATGGACTCTCGCCCTCACCTCACCCCACGAAGCACACACAATAATGTGCCCATTGTATATATGCATGCACACCCATGCAGGCCCGTTGGTGCTCTCTTTTGCACCACACGCACCGCTGCCGTCCTGCCTGGCTGCATGGGCGGAGCACCGTAACTGTTTCTGTTTTGTTTTTGTTGCATTGAGTGGGCGACCTCTCTCTCTCTCCCTCTGTGTGTGTGTTTTGCTTTACGGGAGCAATGAGAGTGTGTGTGCGCTGGTCGTCCCACGCTTCGGCTTTTTGTTTTGTTTTCCTTTTTGATTTTGTGGTTGAGTGCACCCATTCCGCGGCTGCGTGTGTGTGTGTGTGATGATATGAGTAATTTGCGTGTGTGCTATCTGCCTCTCTCTGCCGTTGCTTTCTTCAGACTCTCTTGTGGCGCACAGCTGCTCTGCAAGTATAGGCGCTGCCAAACAAACATGCACACACACACGCCATTATGCATACTCTGTAGAGCGGCGTGATAGCTGAGAATGCACGCACGCAGAAGATTCTGGCTGCGACGTCCCTTGCGAGGAAGGAGGACGGGAGCCTGCGATTTATTTTTTGACACGTTGCTGGCGTGCAGTCTATTGGGTGGTGTGGCTTAGGGTGCCTGGGACAAGTGCGGATTGCTTCTTGCCCAGCAGCTGCACGTGCCAATGCGTATCTCCCATGCTGAGTATACTTTGGTCAGGGATTCCTTGCCTGTGTGGGTGATGTGCGTTTGCGGATGCGCTGGAAGGGACAACAGTAAAATGACTGGCGAGAGCGCGTGGGCTTTGCAAGGGGCGGTTGTGCTCTTTTGCATTCCGCTGGTTGTTTTGTGTGTGGGCGTCGCCTGGTGTGTGCTGACGCGTGGCAGAAGCGCCCGCCGTGACTCCTCCTGCTGGTGGTGGCAGTCGCTGTGTGTTCCAGGCGCACTGTTCTCCCTTCTGCTGTTCCGTGTGTCTGTGTGGGTGAGTTGTTGTTGTTGGGAGTGACTGTAGCGGGGATGATGATGCCACTCACAGTGTGGATGGGTGACGGTGGTTACTGTTGTACTTCTTTTGTGGACATTTTTCTCATTATTTATTTCCCACCCTCACAAAGAGGGAAAACAATCGCTAATCGCCACTGTGAAATTTGAAGGCACTGAAAGGAACAACAACAACATACACACCGCCCACACACACATAAATTTATATGCTCTCACGTGTTGCTGCAGTGAAGGCACCCCGCACACACAACCGTCGCCGCGTGACCGGATCGAGCGGAAGGAGGAGGGAAGGAGGAGAGAGCGAGCTGCAGAGACCCAACATGTCCCGGCATCTTTTCTACTCTGCGGTGGCCCTTCTCATTGTTGTGATGATGTGCGACACTGGTGATGTTGAAGCTGATGCACCGGCGCCAGGCCCAGGATCTTCACCGGAAAATCATTTTTTTTGGAGAAATAAGAAAGAAGAAGAAAAAGTGGGTTCGCTCTATGCTCCCAGTCTTCTTGAGGTGAATGGTAAAGTGTTTGCCGTTGCCGAGGCGCAGTGCACGGGAAAAAATGATGCCGGTGAAGGCAGTTTCACTGGGATTGCCTCGAAGCTCCTGACGTTGGATAAGAAGCAAACAAAAGGGGAGTTGGATGCGAGTAAAGTGAAGACACAAGTACTGGAGGAATGTCCATCCGATAAAGCAAAATGCGCCTCCCAACCAGAGGGCCATGCTGTTTCCCAAAGCGAAACGAAAGTACTTGTGAACCGACCGACAACAGTCGTGAAACAAAATGAAATTTACATGCTTGTTGGGAAATACGGTCCTACAGCTGTTGTTGTTCCTCCGAAGAATGGTGCCGAGGACTGCGGACTTTTGCTGGTGAAAGGAAAGGTTGGTGGTGAGAGCAGTGACAGTATTATTTGGGGAGATACTGCTGGCGTCCCGTGCATTTCTACTGTTGAAAAAGAAAAAGTAGGTTCGACACGACTGATTGGCGGCGGCGGATCGGGTGTTAAGATGCATGATGATACGCTTGTGTTCCCCGTGGAAGTCACGAAAAAGGAAGGTGAAGCACCAAAGGATGGAAAGACCGTTTCGCTGCTCATATACACCTCCGGTAACGCTGCGAGCTATACACTGTCGAATGAGGTTCCTTACGATGGCTGCAGTGATCCCTCCGTTGCGGAGTGGAGGAAGGAGGACAAAAAACTCATCATGATGACTGCGTGTGATGATGGCCGCCGCAGGGTGTACGAGTCCGCTGACAAGGGGGAGTCGTGGACGGAGGCACTCGGGACACTCTCGCGCGTGTGGGGCAACAAACAGGGCGCAGGAGCGAAGGCCGTTAGGAGCGGGTTTATCACAGCGACAATTGACGGTGATGATGATAACAGAAATGTGATGCTCGTCACTCTGCCGGTGTATCCCGAGAAGGCTGATACAGGAGGCAATGGAAAGGACAGACTCCATCTTTGGCTGACGGACAATACGCACATTGTTGATATTGGGCCAGTATCCGATGATGACGCTGCCGCCAGCTCCCTGTTGTACAAAAGTGGTGAAGGTGAAGATACTAATGAGGAGTTGATTGCACTGTACGAGAAGAAGAAGAAGGGCGGTGAGAAAGAAAAACCATCACCCGATATGGTCTCTGTGCTTCTGACTGCGCAGCTGCAGCGTGTGAAGGATGTGCTGGCGACGTGGAAGAAAGTGGACGACCTTGTCTCCAAGCTGTGCCCCTCAAGTGCCGCAGAAAGTGCCTCACCTGAAGATGCCTGCAGCCCTACTGTTAAGATCACGGATGGGCTGGTTGGCTTTTTGTCCGGCAACTTCTCTGATAACACATGGAGAGACGAGTACCTCGGGGTGAACGCCACAGTGAAGGACAATGATGGGGCGAAGAAGACGGATAACGGCGTGACGTTCACGGGAGCGTGGGCGGAGTGGCCCGTTGGCAGTCAGGGGGAGAATCAGCTGTACCACTTTGCGAACTACGACTTCACTCTTGTGGCGACGGTGTCCATCCACGGCGTGCCGCAGGAGGGTTCTCCCATTCCTTTGATGGGTGTGAAGATGAATGACAGCGGGAAGACTGTACTCCTGGGACTGTCATACAACGGCGGAGGCAAGTGTATATTAGTGTGCAGGGGCGGAACGAACACTGAGGGTCAAAGCGTGACTTTGGCGACGGAGGCAACACACCACGTGGTGATTTTGCTACGGAACGGCACCCAGGGCTCCGCGTACGTCGATGGTAAAAGTGTGGGTGGGGATGTGCCGTGTGCATTGGAGAATAAGGATTCAAAAGCGGTATCCCACTTCTACATTGGAGGGGGCGAACGCAGTGGAGACAGCGCAGGGAGCGAAGAAGACGTGTCTGTGACTGTGACGAACGTCCTGCTGTACAACCGCCCGTTGAATGACGATGAGATTAATGCGCTTAACACAAAACTTTCTATTCCAAAATCAAAAGTTACAAAAACAGTGAAGGGTACTCCACCAGTGGCAAGTAAACCAGTTACGCTGGAAAACGAAACTCCGTCTAGTCTTGGTGGGCAACAGCAGAGTGAACAGGATTCGTTGAGGAAAAGTAAAGATGAGGGGAGTGGCGTTTTAACCACGTCAGCGGTGTCCAGTGCCACGTCTTCCCCAGCAGCCAAAGAATCCGAAGACCCGTCAGCGTCGGGAACATCTCCCGAAGGACATCCAAATGCTGGTGTTGATTCTTCGTCCGAGAGAGGTCAAACGGTGGATGCCGAAACTGGAGAAATGGTGCAAGGAGATGGAACACAACAACCGTCAGTGGGCACTCCTGCCACAGCAGATACAAATGCCCCTACCGCTGAAACCATGGCGCCAGATGGAACCGCCGTGACACCTGAGGTGGGAGGGCACTCTGGTGAGAATGGGGAAACGGCGGGAGGAACGGATGGGCAGAAAAGGGAGGGCGAAGTAAAGGCTGCGGCACTCAGCAGCAGTCTCGGAAATATTTCACAGGGGAATAACAGCGATGCCGGCACCATGTGTGGGAGCGGACTGCTGCCATCGCTGCTTCTGTTGGGACTGTGGGGATTTGCGGCTCTGTGAGGGGTGACTGGCTGCCGCGTGGGACAATTTCGACCTCCCTGCACCGACACACACACTCCTGCCAATGGATTACTCTCCGTATGGGAAAGATTTTCTTTGTGCGTTGTTTACTTTTTCTTTTAATACATTAATTATTTTCATTTTTTGCTTTTTTTTTGCTTTTGGGGCAATCACTATGGACGTTTTTTTTCTTTTCTACTCTTCCCTCTTTAATTGTTTGTTGCTGCACTCTTCGTGTGAGGGGTGCCGTGTGTTCCCGCCCGACTGCTCCACTCGCACACCCACCGACACGCTCATGACGACGGCCCTGTGCGCCTCGCCTGCTGCACGCATGAGGAGGGGCCGCGAAGAACGGCGCGCTGAGGGAGCCGTGACGTGTGGGCGTGCGACGAGGGCCCGTGGGGCGGAGCACACATTTCTTCCCTCTTGTTTTGTTTTCTTTGCGGCCAGGGCGGGCAGACACCCGCAGCGCCACACACACACACAGCCACACCCTGCCGCCGTGTTTTTAAGTTTTTTTGCTTTTCGTGTGAATTTCACGCGCTGGCAGTCCCTTCGGGGCCGGCCTCGTGAGCATTTATTTTCCCCTCCGATGATTTTTTTTTCTTTTGCTGCGCTCACTCTCCCGATTGAGTGACGCGACTGCCGTCATGTCTGCGTGCTTCTCTCAGTCCCCCCACACACGAGTGACTGTGCTCTGCGGGCCGCACTCACGCGCCGATGGGAGGGCTGAGGGGAGCAGCAACACGCAGATGACCCCATGAAATATAAACGATGTGCGGACACACGGAGGGTCAGACGGTTGAAGCACACGCAACCATCTTTTTAATTTTCTTTTGCCGGCAAAATGCATACAGACAGTTTGGTGTGGCCACACGGCAGCCAGGCGATTTTTTTATTATTTTAAAATTTGTGTGGAGCAGTAATGGACGATTTCTTTTTCATTTATAATTATTTTGTGTGATGGGGTTTACATAAGACGAAGGGGGACGTTTTTTGTTTTCAATAAATCTTGTGTGGGTTGCCGCTGCTTGGACTGCAGTGCAGTCACGAGTTTGAGCGGTCTTCTTCTTGTTGTTTCCGCCATGCATCTCCGCTGTACATTTTTGTACGTCCCTCCACATACTCTGCTCCCTCTTTTCCACGTCTTTGCTTTGTGTTTCTGCAGGCACACACAACCACACACACACACAAGATGCACATTGCAGTGGATTTGAATGCACCTTTTGTAGTGCATGCTGGCAGTTGCGTGTGGCGGCTGTTGTCTTCTTCCGTGGCCATGAGGAGGAGGGAGAGAGGGAGCGCAGCCCGAGATTATTTTCCTGTGGGTGTGATGCACCGCGTGTGACTGCGCTGAGTTGGGCTCCGTGTCCCATTGAGGGCGGGATGGCAGGAAATTTTGTGCCGCGTCATGGATGGATGAGGGTTCGCCTGCTCCGTGTGCGTTGTGTGGTGGCCGCGGGTTTTGCCATTTCCCTGGGGCCGCGGGAATGAGCTGGGGGAGATGGTGGTGGATGTCTTCTCCTCCTGTATGGTGGGTGGCTGCTGGCGTTGTGTGCCTTCCTTGCGTGGATGCCGTCTCGTGGTGTGTGAACTGTGCGGCTGGGCCTGCTGCCCTCTCCTCATGTTGTCTGCTCCCTCTCGCTGTATCCGCTGTGCCCCGTCCCTCTCCCTCTCGTTCCATTCTTTTCCTTTCCGCCTCACCGATCTGCTGACTGACACCAGCGACTCCACTACGGGCGATGATGACTGCGACGGTGACGGTGCGGCGCCGTATTGCTCCTTGCGCTCTTGTGCTGCTGCTGCTCGTCCGTGTGCGTGACGGCGACAGGAGACGATAATAACGATAACAGCCGTCCTCCCAGCCCTGAGCTAGGGAAACCGGATCCTACAAAAATATGCCTGGTGCATTGCAGCCATATGGTGGGGAGACCGGTGTGCCACAGACAGAGAGTGGGAGAGACAGCGAGGAGGGTTTGAGAAGTCCAGGACCTTCTTGCCAAAGGAAGCAGGCACAGCCATCACTGGACAGACACGAGTTCCACCAGAGTCACTGAGTTCGGCTAGCGATAATCCAGAGCCACCAGGTTTGGCAACTCAGTCTCCACACACACAAGGTGCGACCGGTATGTCAGATGCACAAAATAGAAGGCGCAGTAAATACACGAGGCGATGAGAATCATAAGGCACAGATATCAAATCGGAAAATCAAAATGCCAATTGGTACCACCAATAAGACTACAACAACGCTCTGGCTCAGCCGGCCACCTCAACGTGGTGCCAGGGTCTAGTACTCTTTGCTAGAGAGGAAGCTAAGCGCCTGCTGCCCGTCCGCTGCGCGCGGAGAGGCAGGAGGCGCCGCACAAACGGGTCGGAAGGGCACCAGATGGAGCCATTTACATGGCTGCCCGCGGAGCGGTATTTCTATCCGCTGCTGAATTCCATCGGCGCTTATCAGCGCTATACATACCGTTTGCGTGCCGTATGTGACGCGCAACGACAAAAGCTACTGCTAAGCGGAGACATTGAGCAGAACCCAGGCCCCATAGCAGTACTCCAGATGAACGTTTCTTGCCTCACGCCGTCAAAACTCGCAACATTAATGGCGCAAGGAGCAGACATAATAGCCATCCAGGAGAATTGGAAGTCGTCAGAGCAGATCGACAGCATGCACACTGGAGATTATGTGCTCTATGCACAGTCGCGCATCGGCAAGGGAGGCGGTGTGGCGGTGCTGGTGCGGAAAACTCTCCGCTCCAAGCGTATACCTCTCACCATCCCTCAGCATGACACCAGCCTTGAAGTGGTGGTGGTCCAGGTTGCTCTGGACCAGAACCGTGATCTTATCGTAGCGAGTGCCTATATGAGACCACCACCGCAAGTAACGCAATCCTTCAGGCGGTTAGTAAACTGCCTTCCAGCCTCGTCGCCGCTCCTGCCATGTGGGGATTTCAACATGCATCACCCACAGTGGGAGCCATTCTTGGAGACTTCTCCAAGCGAGGTTGCTGCAGAATTTTTAGAACTGTGCACGGATGCGGGACTCACCTTGGTTAACACCCCTGGTGAGATCACGTATGCCCGTGGCACAAGAGAACGATCCTGTATCGATCTGACATGGTCAAAGCACTTGACTGTGTCGGATTGGTCAGCTTCCGTGTCGCCGCTTAGTGATCATTATATGCTGACATTTACGCTGCATCAGGCATTTAAGGATACCATACCTTCGGCACCCCCTTCGGCACCTAAGTTTTTCTACAGTTGGGGGAAGTGCAAGTGGGATTTATTCATCAAGGACTTCGACGCACAACTTCCGGCATATGACTATAAAAGGCAGTCCACCGGCATTAAGGCTTTCACGAGAGCGCTTATAACTTCGTATCGACGGCATTGCCCCCGCGGCATGCACAAGGACGGTCCCAGGCTTTGGGACGACACTCTCATGGAGGCAGAGCGGATGGCTACCGACAGCAAGGCCCGCTATCTACAGTTACCGACGCCCGACCGTGAGGCAGAAATGCAACGGACAAGGAGTCAATTCTTCCTTCTACTCCGAGAGCGCTTGCGCAACACGTATCTACGTCGCATCAGCAAGTTAAATCCAGGCGAGCCACTCGCATGGAAATACATTTCCGGACGAAGAAAGGCATCACTTCCATCTCCCACATCAATTTTATTGGGAGATGGTCAACACACTTACAAAACAGCAAGGAGAGCAGCGAATGCTCTCAATCGCATCTTTCTTCCATTTCACCCCTCTCACAAGGCAGTTAGGTTTTCCAAAGGCATCAACAGACAGAGTGCATCTTTGAACATTAATGCTTCTTCTCTTTTTGGGCAGCAGAACAACAACGAGTCTGCCGCTACATTTACTTCATTTTCTTCTATTTCTTCTACCTCCGAGCCGCAGAACAACAACGAGTCTGCCGCTACATTTACTTCAGGTTCTTCACTCTCATCTAGTTCTGAGCCACAGGATAGAAACGAAGCTGCCACCACATCTGGTTTAGTTGCTCATCTTCACTCCCCTCTTGATGCACCTTTTAATCGTACGGAACTGCTTGCTGCGCTACGTAATACGCCGTATGGCAAGGCCCCCGGACCGGATGAAGTCTACAGTGAGGCACTGCGACATATTTCGTCAAAGGGCCTTCGATTCCTTCTTCTTTGCATCAACCACAGCTGGACGACCGGTACGATCCCGGTTGAGTGGAGACGCGCTACCATCGTTCCACTTTTAAAACCCGGTAAGTCGCCGGAACTGCTTGAGTCATATCGACCCATCAGCCTTACTTCCATTGTGAGTAAGGTTGCTGAGAAAATGGTACTGAAGAGATTGCTTTGGGTGTGGACGCCACACCCCCACCAGTATGCATATCGTAGTATGCGTACCACGACGATGCAGCTGGCACACCTGATACACGAAGTGGAGCATAATAGAAATCACTATTTCCAAGTGAGCCTTCCCAAGAAGAGCGGTATTGGCAATCAACTCCACTACAGACCCCATCGGACCCTGCTGGTGCTGGTTGATTTCAGCAAGGCTTTTGACTCCATAGATCATCGAGTCCTCAGTCGCTTGCTGGCTAATATTCCGGGGGTGAATTGTCGAAGGTGGCTTAGAAACTTTCTATGTGGACGCTACGCGAAGACACGAGTTGGCCACAGACACAGCGATCGGCGTCCCATGCTGCGAGGAGTTCCTCAGGGGTCCGTGCTGGGACCGTATTTGTTCTCCCTTTACGCACACCCACTTCTCAATCTGCTGAACAGCTTTGCGGGTGTCACAGCAGACATGTATGCGGACGACCTCTCTATTATCGTTAAGGGGCAGTCCCGGGAAGACGCCATTCCCACTGCCAACATGGTTCTTCAAAAGCTGCATGCGTGGAGTCAGGAAAATGGCCTGGCCATCAACCCGTCAAAGTGTGAAGCTGCTTGGTTCACACTCTCCACGCACACGGAGTCAGATTATGATCGTGAAGGAAGGTGGCCCCTGG